AAAAAAACTTTTAGTGAACATTTGTATGTATTTTCAACAAAGGTCACTATACAGTGTTGTGTAATGGAGGGATCACACTTGACCATTTTTTTTTTAATATTTTCCAAATATAGCCCATAGGTTTTGGAGTAAATATATAAATTTAAGTAGGTAATAATAATGCTTAGTAATCCTACAGATATTTGTAGTAGGTTATTCTAAAACAGTCTTACTTTGGCTCCAAAAAATCTAAGAGGTAACTAATAAACTAAATCGAAGATCGATTAACATCGATCGGTACATTGCGTCGTCCTAACCAAAGATCAGAGAAAACTTCTAGCGTTACGTCAAAAACGTCAACTGTCAATTTCAAATTGAAATAAAATAAATTGTAGAACAGTCTACAACGCATGCACGCGCGACATTTTAATTAAGGGCAGGCGTGCACTGATCGCAATATCGGAACGCGATTATAATGTTCGTATGACTTCGCGAAGACCCACCAGTGCGCTATGATACGTCGGTGTCACCTTACATAACGCTATGTTTGTTATAACTCACTAATATATCAGCTGATGATTAAAATTATAACTGTTTTCTGTTTTAAAGTTACTTTTGAGTACCGTCATTACAGACACAATTAAAGAACAATAGGTTGCGGTCACCGGTGTCCTCGCGGTGTTTGACAGTTTAAAAAACGAACAGTTGTTCTTTGTATTTTAGTTAGAATCGCAATTTGGACAGTGATAGTGATTTGATTTGTTGTATTATCGGATCTTTTAACGTTTGCTACATCTATATTTCCCTATCTATAAAATATTTGCAAGATAATACCTATTAGACGGAAGTGTAGTTGTATCAAGAAATCCCGCAAAAGCTAAACCTAGTTACCCATTCACAAAGCGATAAACTGCTATTTGGATTAGCCAAAGAGCAGTCGATCCACTCAACTGTAAGTTAGCCTCTATGCCTTTTTGATTACCTAAGTGTCCTTAACTCGTCGAGTACCGGTTTTATAGACACAATTAAAGAACAATAGGTCGCGGTCACCGGTGACCGCTTGGTGTTTGACAGTTTAATTAGAAAACAGAGCAAAATTGTATGCTAGAGAACATAGATCAGAGCCACTACCTATAAGTGAGTGACTGTATTAACTATAGGTTTTTTTTTTTAAAAAAAAACGTTGCACCATACTAGGATTATCTCTTGTGTCGTGGGTGCGTTTACAAACATACAAGTTCACATACACATGACATCCAGACCCGAAACAACAATTTGTGGATCACACAAAGTGTTGTTCCGTGCGGGAATCGAACCCGCGACACGTTGCACGGCAGCCGGTTGCCCAGCCACCGCACCAACCGTGCAGTCAAGGTAATTGCTGTTTTAAGACATAAACAATAAAGGTTCTTAAATTCAGAATTTCGATAGAAAATCGTGACGATAATTTGATTTAACACCATCTTGTGAAATCATACTTCCTCACTAATCAATTCGATGAGTCAATCGAAACAATGTTTCAGAACACATCGCCAGTGATCTGCAACTGTAATATTGTTTGCACTTATTTACATATTGGTCATAATCATAATAAACGATATGACTAAGTATTATTATAGAAAGATGGAATGGATGGATGGATAGAGAATACAATCATTCAATTTCTTTGAATTTTCTATGATACATTACTTTGTAAGGCATCCAGTGTTTTATGATAGCACTAGCAAACCTGGCGAACTCCGTTTCGCCACCAGATGGCTTCGTTTTATATAACATTTCGTTTGATGATTAAAAGATGAAGAAACGTTTTTTTTTTTGTTATATATTTTGTAAACCTCACGGAGCCCGAGACCTTTCCAACGAATGTCAAACCATGGAAATCGGTTTGTGCGTTCTGGAGTTATAGCGTCAGGAAGGAAAACCCGACTTATTTTTATATAATAGATGTCAACAGATTGCATTAAAACTAGAATAGGTAATAGAAAAAAGTATTTATTTGTCTGTTGGTCCTTTTTTTTATTGGTAAAGTCCCGTCGTCAATGCAACTCCTGTTAGCCAGCCTATCCACAATAGAGACAAACAATACAAGGTACGAGATAACAAAAGCCCGATGTATCACAGGGACACGAAAATCTGTCTGGGATCCAACAAAGAAATCAATTGAAAATATCATTAGACGAGAAGAAAAGGCAAGAAAGCCTGTCCCTTCTAAGAATCTAGACATCTAATTGATATTAAATAATAATAATAATTGTGTGTCCATCTTTACTACACTTATTATTATTACACTTAGATTAAAGTTGTCTAAAGGGCGACTGCGCAGTCGCGGAGAACCTAACGGGTGACCGGGGCTCCGGCTCGACGTGCAGGAGAAGGAACGGGGTGGTTTTTAGTCAGTAAGAGTCTGACACTCCCTCCCGCCTCACCCAAGCGGGAGCAGTCATTCGATGATTTTCCCCCCTTAAAAAAAAAGGTCGTCTGCGCAGTTGGCTTCGGACCATCGTACGCCTCCCAAATGACCGGGACCCTGTGGTCCCGTGAATGGTAAACACACACATAATTATTCAATACACACATATTCATTAAAAGAAATTAAAATAGAGCCGACTAAAGAAAAGATAGATATGAAAGAGAAAGGAGTTTGTAACGGAGAATGCAAAAAGAAGACATATTTAAAAATGGGGTATTTGACAACTAGTCAAATTCAATACTTTTTTCGAACTGTCAAAAACGACAGTTTTCTATGAATTTTGTAAGGGATTGCAAATTGTGACGTCACGTTTCTTAAAATATTGCTGCATAAATACTAAAATTAAGTTGGTCATAAAATCAATTAATGAAATTGTGATTATTTTTTAGTATTTTATTGTATTGAACAGTCGAAATATTTTATTTTTGATTAAGGAAAGTACCTACCCAAGTTTATAGGCAGAAAGAAGAAACGAAATTAATTCTAAATATTGTGCGTATTTCTCTTTACTGCCGAAACTCGACACAAACTAAACGTCAAATATAATTAGTAAAACTATATAAAATCTGAACAATAAATCCCCAACATTACTCAAGTACATTATAATTATGGACATAAATAGCAAATAAAACAAATGAATTTATTGCTGTTTAGATACTGAAGATAAGTTTTTACACAAGAACATTGAATAAATTAAACACATTTATGTCTAATAAACATTATATCGAATTGATAGTTATTTTAAATTGCAACGATATTAAGCAATGTTGTGATTCGAGATGAATTTAACCGTTTGAGTACCGTCATTATAGACACAATTAAAGAATTATAGGTAGCGGTCACCGGTGTCCTCGCGGTGTTTGACAGTTTAATTATGTAGTTAACTAAATGCCTTATGTTAGATATTTCATGTCGTAAAGCTTCAAATCACAAAGTACTAAATTAAATAATAGTTTAGACTAAACTAAATAATAGTTTAGTACTATGTATGTGGCTTAAAGCTTTTCTATTACTAGACAATCAATCGTAGTAATGATAAAAAACAATTAACTAAAACTACTTCTAAGACCAAACTAAACATTTAATGAATTACAAAAACATATGACCCAAAAATTCGAAGTGAAAGATCACGAATTAATCGACTTTAGCTCTCGCACTAAAACTGTGCTAAACTTAAACATTGCTGTACACAATACGTCCATAACCATCTCTACATTCATACCTGTGTCTCCATACAAGATGAAAGTTCATAATTAAGAATCTACACAATTTCTCCGCGCCTAGATTTGAATAAAATGTGCCGACAACTTGCCGCCCTATCATCTCAAGGTGCTTATGTGAATACAAATGAGTAGTTTCGTATATAATGGCAGATAAACACATAAGATCAATTAGATTTGATTAAACGACAGTCCTGCCGACTTATTTAGATGAAGGAATGTTATTGCAAGATGAATGTAACGGTAGATTATAAATGGGAAGGTTTAGATGTGTTTGTTGCTCGGTTACTCTGAAATTACTGTGTGAATTTTGATGAAGTTTGGCTGAGAAGTAGATATGGACTCATCATCAAGGTGTTCACAAGCGTTTGTGAACTAAAGAGGTTGACTAAGCTAAAGCCCGCAAATGGTTACCAAATAAAAACGTTATTGATAAACTCAATGTCGTGGTGGCCCGGAGGTTTAAGACGTCCGCTTCTCATTGCGGGTTTGAAACCTACGAACAGCAAGTACCAATGTGACTTTTTTCGAGCTATAATGTATTTTATACGATTATTTAGACACCACTGACCTGACAAACGGTGAAGGAAAACATCGTGAGGAAACCTAGGCTAATAATTTCTAATTATAAGTTTGAAATTGCCAACCCGCATTAAGCAAGAATGGCGATTAATGCTTAAACCTTCTCCGTGTGAGACGAGGCCTTTGGTCAGCAGTGGCTCCACTTCAAATAAGCTTAGGTAATACAGATAAGGTATATGCTTTCCATAAATGATAAATTAGTTAACCTCATACCACAATCCGCTTTTCGGAAGCAGATTGCGATCTTAATTAAACATCTATGAATGCAATCACCCTGATAATCCATAAGCCAATAAATAATCGATAAATTCCCTATAACCACAAAACCGTTAACCAACATAATTTTGAATTGTTAATCAACATTATTAATAGGAATGCTATATTAATCAATAGGGAAGGTATTATAGAATAAATTGTTTCTCCTCACTTAGAACATGCGGGCGCCCGTGCACTCGTCACCGAACTAACTTAGCAAAACGTCCTAACACACATGTGCTACAGAAGAAAATAAACTTTATAGGGATAGCCATAAATGTTACTTTATCAATGCAGAAAATTTATTACTTATAAATAATAGAGAATTGTAATAGTACCTATAATTTAATAGTTGATAGAAAAATGAAGGCGATAAGGTTTTGTTAAGAATTTCTACGGGTTTGTCATGCATGTTGTAAATTATATAGCGAATTATATAAAGAATATGGCAATTTAAAGCGTTTATTTTGATTAAAAAGATAATAAACACCTACATTTATAGCGAATCCGTTCCTCTGTTTAACTGTTAGTCCAGCATTCTGGAAGCAAAAGAAAAAATGTGTTAATGGCGACTGTTTTAAAGATATAATCGAGAGCAATTAAGTAGATACTAAAAACTTATGATTAGGTATATGAGCGCGACAGTCGCCGCGTCGTGTCGCAGAATACTGCTTATGAAGTGCTGCTTTTCGCTGCTGCTCGTCTAATTTCAAGACATGCTTTATACAGATTCATAACCTCAGGCCTTAGTACGAATTTCTTTTTCGTTTAAACTAATCGTAACGAGTACGCGTTCGGCGTTGTGATTGGCTGGCTCCAATGAACCAACCAATCAGAGCGCCGGACGCCGTCTCGTTTCGATTACTTTAAACGAAAAAGAAATTCGTAAAGGCCTCTGTATAAAGTATGGCTTGAAACAAGAAGAGTCCCTCGTCAAACAGTTACGTGAGTAAACCGATAAACATAATAATTAATTTCTATATAGAACTGATGATGACAGGATATGAAAATTAAAAAAATAATTAGTCCGTACCTAAGTTAGGTAATGAAAAAATATTAGACACGTGTTTTTTTACTTTGTAGATAAAACGAATCAAAGTTTAGGAGTGGGGGCTAAAAAGTGATTGCTACGTATAAAATGTACATAGAAGTGACGTCACGCGACATTTCAAATCAATATATCGTCGAAAGTATTCGTTTCTGTAAGAAAATAAAAAAATCGTAATGTTTTAAAATAATCTACCAGACGGGCATTAAAATAAAATTAGGCATCTACCCTATTATGTAGGTGTCTGTAAAGACACGTAACAAGGATCATATATATATGAATGTATACATATCGAATTCGCAGGAATCACACAATTGTCAATTTCAATTTAATTTACCCCTTTTAGCCGACATTGCAAAATGCCATCCATCACTTTGAATAAAAGTAAATTACAATACAAATCGTACAGTAATATGGCAAAAGGAAATATATTTTTATAACGAAAACTTACAAGTATAACTGACTGAGTGTTATTCCCTACATTATTTCCTAAGTGTGGGAGAGCCATGCTTCGGCACGAATGGGCCGGCTCGACCGGAGTGATACCACGGCCTTACAGAAAACCGACGTGAAGCAACGATTGCGTTGTGTTTCGTCGTGTGAGTGAGGTTACCGGAGGCCCAATTACCCTCCCCTTCCCCAATCTCCCCAATTCCTGAATCCCCAACGATCCTCAAACTCCTAATCCCCAAAAGACCGGTAACGCACTTGTAACGCCTCTGGTGTTCCAGGTGTCCATGGGCGACGCCGATTGCTTACCATCAGGTGATCCGTCTACTCATTTACCGGCTAATGCCACAAAAAAAAATTAATAGACAATTGTAAAGCAAAAGCGTATTTTTGAAAACATTCAAATTTGGTTGCAAGTGCGACTGCAGGCCAAGGGGTCTCGGGTTCGATTCCCGGGCTGGACAAAGTATGATTGTAAAAAAATTTACAGTAGTAGCACGGAGTATGGAATTGTGCCCGGTATATAGTATAGGCTCACCCCCTATTACATGGGACTCATAACTTAAATAGTGAAAAGTGGGTGTTACATTGGTGTACAGTGGCATTAGGTGCCGTAATGTGCAACTCTGCTTACCTCTTCGGGGATAATAGGCGTGATGTTATTCTACGTTATGTTATATCAACATTAGGAATTTGGACATCTTTACTTGTACGAGATCGCATCGAAGGATCGTACCCAAAGCATCGAATGCACCAATTAATCATTGTGAATTTCGAACAGTTAGAAAGAGAAAGAGATAGAAACAGAGACAGAGACAGAATGAGAGATGAGGAACAGGATCAAAAGTTGTCACCTACTTTAAATTTTAGGCTGCATGTCACACCGTCCTCATTTTACATTTTTTTAATCCACAATAATCTGCAACTATTATTATTTTCTTTGACCTTAAACTTAATAAGTTTCACAAGCGTTTACATGTATTATTTACACAATTCTCTATGTAATATATTCCTGTAAATAAATATTTTTTATTCTAAAATAATATTGACTGGACGTGATTTTATAATAAAACTTATGTAAAATAAAGATTAATAAAGCCATTAATTAATACCGGACTAATTCAAACATTTCGTTTGACATTTAACAAGTACAAACACAATATTTGTTCAGCGACACATTGAAAAATGTGAGAAAAAGTCTTTTCTCTTGTATTCGTGTTCACAAAAGTTGTTCGCAGACAATTTTACGTGATTATTATGCAAACACTAAAGAAATATAATACCTACAACACGACGGGACGGTGTCAATAAACTTATAGTGCATACTAATGTTATTTTAAGAGTAATCAGTGTTTTTGAACAGAACTAAACTAATGTCAACATGAAGTCAATTAAAAAGAATGTCTTTAACTTCCGTACTTTCATAATTAATTGTCTATTTGTCATAGATTTGAAGAATTCGTTAATATCGGTTTAAATATGAGTAATCATGGAAAGATAGGAAAATAAGGAGGGACGTGTCAGGCCGCGTAACTTAATCCTTTTTTTTCGAAAGTCAAAACGGACATTTTCTACGTCTGACGCCATTTTGACTGCCATCAATCAATAACCTAAGATGAGTAAGGATTATTGACTTTCATTTGCAAATATCTACTTCCACATACCTATTCTTTGATTAATCACATACCACACATGATCTTACGGCACTTTATTTTAGATTTGATTGATTATTTATTTGATTTTCCTTGTTTAAGGTGCTTTAAGGCTTCAATTGCCAACCGAAAACTGTTGAGGGCAAAATCCTCTGCTTTCGTGGTCCATACGATGTCCCCGCATTGTGTTTAACTAGCTAATTCGGTACTAAATGATATATTACTATAGTTTAAAGATGTTAGATTGTTCTAGTTTCCAACATGATGGTTGAAAACAAAGTTCTGGCACGTTATGCAAGTAAATATGATATGTATTGACATGTAAACTACGATTCTTGTTTAGATAAACGGGGATATTATTAGACTAATGCATTTCTGTTGATTCTATTGTGCCTACTTGCATATAAGGTCGTCACCTCACACCATATTGAACGTAACGCCAAAGATTATGAAAGTTACGCGTGTACTTTGTTACATCAGTGCACTGGCTCGACACTTGATAGAAAGAGAGAGATAGTGTGGTTTCTTCTAACAGGTAGTGAGACGCTGGCCGACCATTTTTTTTTTCTATATTTCAATTGTTCCATTACAATATTGAACAAAAGGACTGTCGCTCTGTGCACTTAGCAATATGGCGCTGTTGCCTTGGCCATGACGCTCCGTACTGTAGAAAGACAAAGACAGTAAAAAAAAAGTGAGTGTATCTTTAACACCCTAACTTCAAAGTTAAAACTTAAAAGCGATTACCAATTCAGTGACACAGTGACATTTAACGATTTAGCTGGGATTATCGCCTCAAATACTAACTTAATTCCATCCGTGATCATAGACTGATAGTGGTAATAATTGAATCGCTGCAGGGCGTTACGCGTCGGTGTGACGCGCAGCCGTCGCCTCGCGAACCCACGCAACCTTTCCTTTATAAATATTGAATGTCAATACGATTATTTACGACAGATATGTTGAATATAAATGAGAGATAAAGGATCAAGTTCGATTTCTGTATAAAGAACTGTGACAATAGCTCTTTTGTCGAGTCAGCCATTTTATTTGTATGCAAATTAAAATCTTCAACAAAAGACGGTTCGTGTCGGATAATCAAAATATCTGAACATAAGAAAAGTATCAATTTGATATGCAGGTTCGCATAAAAAATACAAAAGGGGGTAGGTATGTAGGTAAATACCTACATAATATTAGTAAAGTGAAAGTAACGAATGTGAGTAGGGTCAGCAGACGGACCTGTGTAAAACAATAGCACATCAAATGGAATTCCTAACTATCACTCGATCAGATTGACATCTTTACATGAATTGAAATTATGGTTAATCTACTATTCATCAACCTCTTTACAGCTGCTTTTAAACGTCCAATGTCCCAATATAAACCTACAATTACCCAATATCACCCTAATCTAACCTAACTAGCCCCCTAAAAACGTGTGAATAGTTTTTTCAATATGACCAAGAGTGGATATTATGACATAGGGCAGGAACCCACGTAACACACCTACCATTGTGACCAGCACGCGACCAGGTAGCGCGGTGAGGTGGTGCACCTGCCGACAACTGCCTCACTCTTTGTGCCACAAGTGGGTTACAAAAGCAAAAAAATCACGGCAAAGATCAGCTGTAAGATGATTCTATTTGCGTGTGTAGGCAGTCACACAGGTCAAACAAAATCATTAAACTCTTTGCACAAAACAAAGTTCGTTCCTCCAACTATCTGCATTTGAAATGAAGCCAAATAAATATTCTAACGCACCACGTTATGCAACCAACTGATTCACGTGTATTCAGCATACATAACAAATAACCGGTTTTAATTTTCTGATAACACATGCTAATATAAAGGAAAAATGCTGTGAAAAATTACACATTTTCCTTCTATAAAATATAAAGTAAATATTGCAGTTTGCACCTTATTCAACCAATGCAAAACGTATCAATTTATTGAAACGCTTTCCAACACTGCAATGTTAAACTCAACACTTAATTAATAATTTGCCTTATCAGCTCATAACTCAAAACATAATTTTTCATCGAAATGCGAAGAATTTTGTAAAAATAAATGGCACAAGCATAGTTAATTAAAATTAATGCAAACCGCCAAGCGGTGTTGTCAACGCGAAAAAATAAAATCTCGAAGCCCGCCAATTATTTCAATTAATGGTACGTCGCGGTGTCGACAGGAAAAGGAAGCGTGCGGTCGGGATATGAGCTAAGTATAGGCCGCGATTGTGCACTGAGTGACAGCTAGGCTTGATTAATTAATTCGTGGCCCTCTATTCGCCGAGTGGGGATAATAAATCGTGCGTTCTGGCCTCCCGTGAGATGTCGCCAAAGCCAGACACACCGCTGAATAAATGATTGAGTCAAACGCAAACATTATATGTGTCGGGACAGAAATAAACGGCTAATGATGTGTTATACAGGTAAGCGATAATAAAGTCCTCAGATCTCGTTACTTTACATCATTAGAATTCCCGGATTGTTCATCAATTTTGACTCGCTGAAAATGTTTCGGGATTATATTTGTTTCGCTTTCATTTGATGCATCTTCAGTTATTTTAGTTTCGAATCTGGATTATTCTATTATTGTATTTATGTTGGAAACAGTAAATCATATGACAGCGTGTGTTATTGCTGAATGCATGACATTCATGAATCATAGCCATGTACGAGTAGGTACCTAAGTACTTATATTAACCGTGAATCTAGTGGTCAATAAAAATAATTACTTACATGTCCTCCTAATCAACCGTCATCATTATTAGCATAGGAACTATAAACCAGTGTGGTAAGCACAAAAAATGAAGCCAAAATATCGATGTCGTTCCTTTTGACGAATTATGAACATGCACAAAAACAGTTCCGCTAAATAAACAATATGCAGTCGAATTTCGTAGTGCCGTCGCAGATGGGAGCCTTGGCCCTGCAATAAAACGGGCTTGAAACCGAATCGCAGCCGAATTCGTTATTAATAATGATATCGGCGCCATTTTGTAAAAGCCGCCACATTGCGGGCGTCACACGTGTTGCATAGATGTCGCCAAATATGGTATTTGTTTGATGTGTTGTGACTGTGAAAGCTGCGAATTTCGTTCATGTTATTCCTTGTGGAAAAACCTGTGAGTTTTTACCGACTTCAAAAAAAGTAGGAGATACTATGTTCGGCTGATTGTTTTTTTTTTATATAGGATGTTTTAGCTTTAGTGTGGTTATTACCCAAATTAAATATCGAAAGATATGTCAATAGGTACTTATATTATATACCTTTTCTGAGAGTTGCTATTTATTGATGAACACCTTTTGTGTTTATTTGTGAACAATGAATTTATAATTATGAAGAGAATACCGCATTCAAACCCTGCGTCTAAGACTTAACCGGATTTAGGTACCTACCTACAAAAAATACGCTGTAATACCTACTTTTTATTATAGATAGAATAGCTACTTTCTAAACAAAGGACCGTGAGATGTCTGGCTCGGTTGTTTACTAAAGAATAATAATAATAGAAACTGCAATAAACCCTACGTAAGACAGGTCAGTTAGTACCTGATACTAACAATAGAGGGAGCGGATCACAGATGCGGCGCAAACGCTGTTATCTAAACAAGACAATAGACAAAGATTTTTTTTCTAGCGGCCAGTCTAAAATACCACTAATGGTTTTATTACGAGAATATTCCGGTGTAGGTTCCGAACTGAATTTTCCTCATGTTAATGCAGAAATTGAGATTTCATTATTTTTCATGTACTGGCAAGGATGTTTTTGCAAAAAAAAAGTTGTCCAAGGTCGTCACTAGACTAACTATTTTACGCGTGCAATTTTTACAATTATAATATTGTAGGCAACTACATCTTTCATGTCCAAAGTTTAAAATAAATATAAAATAACCAGTCAAGAGTAATCTTTATTACAATTAAGTTCTTACCTACCTACATAGAAGTGAGCTAAAATACAACTGGCTAAAATAATATGAACGACTAATGATAAAAATCAAGTTAAAAATTATGAAAATTTACTATAATTATGAGTAGGTATTTAATCAGTAACAAAACAAATCAAATGATACTCTAAATTGTAATCAAAATTGCCATAATCTCAAAAACATCAATTTTTTTTTTTTTTTTTTTTTAAACGTTGCCCCACATTAGGATTTACTCCTGTGTCGTGGGTGCGTTTACAAACATACAAGTTCACATACACATGACACCCAGACCCGGAACAACAATTTGTGGATCACACAAAGTGTTGTCCCGTGCGGGAATCGAACCCGCGACACGTTGCACGGCAGCCGGTTGCCCAGCCACCGCACCAACCGTGCAGTCAAATTATTTAAAAAAGTTATAGATACTGATAAAATCAATTTGTTATATTCAGTTAAAGGCAAGTACACATTCCAAATGTGGGTAGGTAAGTTCATGAGACCGATAAGGAGGGTAGGTAGGCCTTATTTGACTGTCATGAGTTCCAAATAACGGGAGTCAAACTCCAGGCACAATTCTAAATTCAAACTGCGTGTTATTTTTTTTTCGGCTATCGAAGAGCACAATAAATAATAACAATAGCATAGCCCGACCAGAGTCGAACCTGACGCCGCTTGCTCCGTAATCCCGCTTGCAACAACTTGACCATTGAAGCAGGTAGTAACAAATTGTTTTAATTTCTCAATAATAATAATAATTAACATTTAAAATGCCACGTTTTGATAGGTTAACATTTTAAAATGTCAGTCTTTCTTATTCTTAGGTATTTACAATCACTTGTAGGTTGAAATTATAATTTAAGTTCTTAAACATTGATACTTATTCTAATGCCTACTCCCGGTTTAAAATCTTCGTGAATTAAGAGTCGCCAAATACCGATTCCATATTAACCCTCTTTCAGTTTAAATATAATATTTTACCAAAACAAATGGACAAACGCTTTGGTATTAGGTAGTACCTACTTATGTATGTTTATGTGTACATAATTTGCATACATGAGTCGTTCTCAATATTTGGGACATATTAGCATAGTGTTAGTACATATTTCTCTATATGTGTGCAAATAAATAAGTTTACAATTGAGACGGGTGGTTTAAATTTTTGCGCCTACGCACCCTCAGTCGATTTGTTTACAGTTATGATTTTGTGCATCCATTCAAACTGCAACGACGCGACGCACCGACGCCATGTTTCGTGTTTTTTTTATTACCTACCACGAGATTTTGAGGTTCATCTGTTAGGTAGATAAGTACCTACCTATTATCATAAAATCTAGATCAATAATTATTTATTTTATCTTTCTACCTACCCTACATAAATCTAATTAATATAATTGCCATTCATTGAAGCACATTGTCCCACATATTTTAACCCACCCAGCATCAAAACTAAACATGTTTCATTCATGAAAATCAGAATAAATACATAGTAGGTAATTTAAAACCTAAGTAATACAGAGATAGACAGCTTATCACAGTGCCGTTGTCATAACAACCGGTTGCAGTTGGCAACATAACAACATGTCGCCGGTTTACAATAGTCCTTGCTAACAATACGTCAACCATCACGGACAACAAACCTCGCCGGGCTTACAAAATGCCGGCAGACAATACGACGGATTCCAACTGCTTGGCTAGACTGGAACGTGGCCTTATTAAACAGTCTGAATGATAGAAACCTTGACTACCCTTGTTATACATGTACATGTAGGGAGATAATTTGTCTGCTGGATCAGCTGCTTCGCCTGCTTTGATAAGAGTAAGGTAAAACAAAAGACAACTTACCACTGGACTGTCATCGCCAAGATCCGAATCTCGGTCGGCGTCGGCCATGGCGTACGCCGGCACCGGCTCTCGGTTCTTCACCCGAATCTTGGCGGCTTTAACAAAGCTGAATACAAGTAACACGCCACGGTAGGCACGTGCTTAGATCACACACTCGCGTCGGAAACACGGGATCGGATAGAATCGGAACGCGGGCCGCAGCGGCGAGAGACGAGCGTCGCGTGTGCGAGCACGGAATGGTATGGCGCGCGAGCTCGCCGGCGGCCGGCTCGGTCCCCTCTCTACGAGGCCCCGCCTTAAGGCGTCCGCGTCACGGCGAATCAAACCGCGCGCTATCAAACTGATATTCCCGGCGCACGCTCCGCCCGCCACACTTATATTGTTTTTATTCAAGCTATAAAATAATCGCGTGGCATTGATCGCTCTTTGTGATTAATAGCGATAGTGAAACGCGATATTAATGCGCCTTAATCGGGGTTTCGTTTGCGCATTTAATGAGCCTGTTAATGTTAGTTTTGTTAGTACGTATAGTATAGCTGCGTTTGATTAATGGATTCGATGAATGAGGTCGGCTGTTAAATAAACAATCCATTCATTCACCAATCTGTTTCATTTTAATTGGTTCTTAGAATTATTAATAAGATTGGGATAGGTTTTAATAAGTAACATAACATAACATCACGCCTTTTATCCTCGAAGGGGTAGGCAGAGGTGCACATTATACCACTGTACAATGTAACACCCACTTTTCACTATTTATGTTATGAGTCCCATGTAATAAGGGGTGAGCCTATTGCCATATACCGGGCACAGTTCCAGACTCCGTGCTACTACTGAGAATTTTTAAAAACCCAGTAATACTTTGCCCGACCCGGGAATCGAACCCGAGACCCCTTGCCCGGCAGTCGCACTTGCGACCACTCGGCCAACGAGGCAGTCACTTTACTGCCTCGTTGGCTGAAGTCCAACTTATTAAAAGAGACTTCTTCCCAGTGTCTGACTATTATTAATATGTTTTCGGTTTCGATCTATAACTCCGTAGTATAGTACTAATATCAACTATGTATCTGATTGAAGTATAAATAGACTAATTGCGGATTTTCTGTATATTCTGTCTGTTGAGGGGTGATATCGCAGTGAGGACGCAACGACAATGAGTGTAGGTTGCACGGTCCCAATAATTCGGGTGTGTGACCGGTCTAACGGTCTACTACCGGTCCACTACCGGTCTACTGCCGGCCTCACTGCCGGACTGACTGCCGGACTTCCGTGCGGACCACCGGTGTGCCATCCTCACTCACACCGCACCAAGATCCTAACAAACTAGATGCGGCAACGAAATATACATTCGCACATTCATTAGTCACTGTGATAATTTTATGTCAATGAGTTGAGTTGGAAGAAGACTGTTTTAATAAGTTTTGTTTATAAATTGGGGAAATGTGATGAAGTTACGTTAAGATAACATTAAAGTAACGCGTTGAAGTCTTTACTTAGCTTGTATGTAAGTATCAATAAATGCTGATTATCCAATTAGCGTGTTATGATAGAAATATCAAAGATAACTAAGTAATTAGGTAGGTATATTACGTATGTAGAATGTAATCAATTAAATTATCCATGCTTACCTTCAGTAGTGTCATCACGTATTACCTATCATATTTGACTAACCTATATGTACATTATACCTCTAATAAAATCGTAAAAATGTCGAAACATTGAATATTTTTTAAAAGACTAGTTAAGTAGGTACTTCAGTACTTGGTGCGTGATTCACTATCGATACCGAAGCCAAATACATATCTGGATTTTTGAATTTTTGTCTGTTTGTCTGTATGTATGTCCGGGATAATCTCAAAAAGTACTGCATGGATTTACTTCAAAAATTGCATGAATATTACTAACAGGTCGATTCAACATATAGGCTATATATTATCACGCTATCATCTACGGGGGAGGAGCCCTATACTAGGTAGGTACTTAATCAATTCTGACGACATTCGTTACCGTACAATATCCCTTGATAAAGACTAATTCAAAAGCATAAATTCTGCCAGAAGTCATTATTCAAGCGGACGAAGTCGCGGGCAACAGCTAGTTATCAGATATAGGTATTATTTTGTTTATTTTGTAATTAGGTAAGCAATATATAGTTGTCACTAAAGTACCTCTATATTTCAATTGATAAAAAGATACTTAAATCATTAAACTATTAATCGACTACTTACTTTAAAACTAAAATAAAATTTTGTTTTATGCGATAAAATACAGGAAAATAGATATATCTACGACTACACCTACCTATCTCTAACTATTTAGCTTTAATTCTACTATGAAAATTCCTAGCTTAAAGCTAAATAATTTTTCCTGTAAGTAATAGGTTCTTTTTTTTATATTTGACTAGCGACCCGCTAGGCTTTAATCACCACGCTTGCTCAATGAGGTTTGGCGATTACAACATTATATTTAAAAAATATAAGTGCAGGTTTCCCCACGATGTTTTCATTCGCCTTTTGTCAGTGGTATCTAGAATATTAAAAAGTACATATAGCTCGGAAAAGTCACATTGGTACTTGCCGTTGGTAGATTTGGAACCCGCAACCTCATGCATGAGAAGCGGCTGTCTTACTCCGGGCTACCACGATTTATACGGGATACGAATAGCAAATGGGAATTGACTAAATCGCGGGTTACTCACTCTCTTAATATACTGAGAAAAACTCTACTAGTAGAGTGACTAGTAAGCTGCCCTTGAGGAAGAACCCCTCTGTGGTTCGAAACTAGTAGAGCTTTTCTCAATATATTCACGTGAGTAACTTTATAAGTAACACTTTATTTCTTTATTTCAAAAACAATTTACATTGTGTGTGAATCAAAGCTTAAAACTAATAACACCAGTAGTACAAAAAGAGAGAAAAAAAAAACACATTTCCTAAATCGAATTACAATTAAAATTATTGCTAAAATAACTGATCTCATAACGACAAAATTTATGTGACACAACTACATTAATACATTAATACATTGATACACTGTTCAATAAGTATACCCAATACAATACAATACAAAACCATATAATACATGTCACAAAATCAAATCTACTATGAATGTCAATAAAAAAGATCAATATTAATATAAAGTAGGTAATTACAATGTCAACAGAGAATTATCATCAACAATGTCAAAGAAAAAAAAAACAAAAACAAAAAGGTACCCAAAAACAACGCAGAACCAAATCAATTATTAAATAACAATTTAAAATTAAAAAAAATAAATAATAATATTCAATATTCAAAATTAAATAAAAAAAAAAATCCAGTCCTGTGTTTTACAAGTTATCTACAGAGTAGAGGCATTTCTCCAATAGGAATGCCTTGAGCCTAGTTTTGAACGAGCTTGTGTACAGAATACTTTTTAATTCAAGTGGCAGTCTATTAAATATTTTAACTGCCTGGTACAGTGGACTATGCCCAACAATGTTAAGTGTTGGGATGAGTTTGCTTTCTAAATCCTTCCTACGTGTTTTTTCTCTTAACGATCTTTCCTCAGCACTTTCAAAGCAATAAATGTATTTCTTTAAGGTTGACATGAGTACCAGTACGTAAAGTCCAGGCACTGTGAGGATACCAAGCTCCCTATAATAGGGTTGACAGCTTTCTTGTTGGGGAATACGGACAATGGTTCTTATTGCTCTTTTTTGCAAAATGAACGCCCTTCGAACATTATAATTGTAACTTTTGCCCCAAAATTGTATGCTATACCGTAATCTAGACTCTATTAGTGCGTAGTAAACTAATTTCAGAGCTTCTAAACTAACCTCATCTCTAAGAATTCTTAAAGCATAACACGCTGATGATATAGATGAGTCAAGTGCTACTAATTCTGTCTTCCAGTTCAATAACTCATCTATATGTATGCCCAGAAACTTTACCACCCTGACAAGCTCAACCCCAGCATTGTTCAGTTCGATGCTCATGCTATCCTTATTACGCGAAGTTGTTTTGAATAACATCACACCCGTTTTACTCGCATTTATTTTAAGTTTATTCTCAGTAAACCAGAAGTGAAAGACAGCCAGAGCCGCATTAACGGCATCGCTTAGTGTATGAATGTCGGTTGCTGATACTATTGCATTTGTGTCATCCGCGAAAATTGTAAGTTGCAAATCAGGTAGTTTTTTATTTGAATAATTTATGAGATCGTTCGTGAAAAGAATAAACAGTAAAGGTCCCAAGACTGATCCTTGTGGCACACCGGATTTGATATTGAGCATGGGCGACTTGTATCCCTTTCTACAGCCATTCGATTGTATACCTTCGACTTCAACGAACATTTTTCTATTTTTCAAATATGAAGAGAAGAGTTGCAGGGCTTTACCTCTCAAACCGTAGTGCTCAAGCTTTTTGATCAGTAATTCGATGTTAATAGTGTCAAAAGCAGAGCTCAAGTCTAGAAAAATACCAGCTACTTTCATTTTACAATTAATTTTATCGATTACATCATTAACCAATGTATAGATTGCATCCACTGTGCCTACATTCTTCTGGCGCTAACCCGCTACTTTAGATAATTTAGTAGTAGTAGTTTATCTCGCGGTAGTTATTATAAAAACATAGCAAATGGGAATGGTGACTATTCCAATTTCTACTCTGCAATCACTTCAGAAACCAAATTTTAACGATTTAGGTATTTATAATCGTTTTTTTTTATGTATGATTGTAGAGAGGACAACTGAGATACCTATGATATACCAACTGCCACAGGCTCTGATGTTAGATTGGTGATACTGGTTTTAGAAGAAATAGAGAACGGTGGATCAGAATACCAGTCAATGGCATGACTACAGGGTGACAAGTCGGCAAAATGGCATTAGCCCCCAGCTGGAATGGTCTCCGTTCAGAGATTTTCATCTTCTCTGATTAGGAACAGGGTGCTTATATACTCTTGAAACCAATCTCAATGTCAATGCAATTGCAATCCAATGAAAACTCAATCATTATTCAATGTCAAAACTATACAACCCCTATTGTAGTTGTCAAAATAGCATTCAGAGTACGGAATATAAAAAAAAACTGAATACTATTTAGTTCATTCAATACCCATGCAATGCGGATGCAAAGGACGCTAGTGTCTCAAGAATATGAAATTTCACATTGTCAATGTCGATCGATCGGAATTGGATTCAAGAGTAAGTCCACGGGGGACCATTCGGTGAATCAGCCATGAATCCCGAATGGTATGAGTAATCATGCCACTGATACCAGTGCAATAAT